GAAGCAGTTCCTAGTAAGGCTGCCTTTTGCAATTGACTAATAGCGAATTTGTCAGTCCAATGGTGTTCAAGTGGTGCTCCAGTTGTTTTGGGATTGCACCCAAGGCGCCTATTACTATTGGTACTACCCTTGCTTGCTTTTGCCACAGTCTTTTTATTTCTATTTGTAGGTTTTTGTATTTTGTTATCTTCTCCAGTTCTTTCTCTTCCATCCTGCTCTCTCCAGGGACTGCCACGTCCACTATCCAGACTTTTTTGTCTTTCTTATCGACAATTGTTAAGTCCAGGGTTTTATGTTGCAGGTGCTTGTCTGTTTGAATAATAATAATAATAATAATAATAATAATAATAATAATAATAATAATAATAATAATAATAATAATAATAATAATAATAATAATAATAATAATAATAAAAAAAAAAATTGGACCAAAAGACCCATTAGAGATTATTTTCGGGGGATGTCTGACTTGCCGCCTACTCCCTCCATCTGCTTACCCATGGCTGCAACGGCTTACAGAGCTTCCCAGAGCAGATGCTTGGGAGGTGAGGGCAGTGCCGGTGGAACACGCCTTCAGGTGAAGAGGGCGGTGTGGATAGGCGGGGAAAGCCAAAGGATCAGGTGGTGCAAGCCTCCCCTCCGCCTCCCTCCAGCTGCCACACTCTTTCCTTTTACAAGCAGATGAAGCTTCCAGTCTGTCAGTTCTCTGTCCAGGCAAAACATGTTTGGGCGCCTATGGCACGCTTGGAAATGGAGCAAATTGCTCCGTTTCCAAGTGCCCCATAGGCGCACAAACACTTTTTGCCCAGATAGAGATTGGCAGCTTCATCTGCTTGCAAATGGGGCACTTGGAAAGGGTGCGAATCGCTTCGTTTCCAAGTGCCCCATTTGCAAGCAGACAAAGCTTCCAGTCTGCCTCTGAGCGAAAAGTACACAGCGGAGGCAGAGGCAAGGGGGGCGGGTCGGAGGCAGGCTATCTGGACATGTTGTGCTGCTGCCTGGCTCACGGGAGGCTCGTGCGGCAGCACTGGCAGCAGGTAAAGGCACCGGGGAGGGGGAGGCAGATGATCCCGATGCGCCACCTACTCCATCCCATTGTCTCTTGGCTTGCTCGCGGCCACGCCAGGGCAGGAGGCTGCACAGCCCATCAGGATCACCTGCCTCCTCCATGCCTCTGCCTCCGCCTGGCTGCCGATGCCACCGCACAAGCGTCCTGTGAGCCAGGCACGTCCAGATCGCCTGCCTCCCCCCCGCCTCTGCCTCCACGCTTGGACTTACCTGTGTTGCACCAAGGGGCCAGGGGCTGCTGCTGCTGCTGGACACCATCGGCCCCTACACACTTGCCGCCTTTTGTGCTGGCCATGCCCACCCCCCTGGGCTTATTTTTGGGGTAGGGCTTATATTATGCTCACCCCAAAAATCAGGCTAGGGCTTATTTTCTGGATGGGTCTTATTTTAGGGAAAACATGGTAACTAGGTGATGTAAAATTAAACACTTAAAATAGTAGGAAATATTTCTCCCAAAACCCAATCAACATGGTCAAGATACAAGAACTGACACCTGAGGAATTCAAACACCTCAAACAAACTTGCAACATTTGACTTGGATGCAAGTTTCAGTATAGGACATATGGGAAATATTAAAAGACATTTAATATATATTGATTTATATATCTGCTCATTTTGCAGATGTGACTCTGGGTAATTAACAACATATCAAAAATACAAAATCCAATATCAATAAAAGCTTAACAGCCTACAATGGATTCTACAATAATTCTAATAAACATTCAAAAATAACATCTCATGGTCCGTTCAACCTCCCAACCCCATACCCTGGAGCACATCTAGATCTTCAGTGCTTTGAAATCTCATCTTGTAGGTACAGTATTCCTGAGGGTAGGCATTATGACCAAAAAAGAGCTGCTTCCAATGGATGACTGTGGATTCATTATGATCACCTTGAGACCTATCAGATATAACTAGGAAAGCACCTTTTTTAGGGCACATTTCCTCAAACTAGTGTTGTCCAAGGCTACATATCAGTGGAGAAGTGGAGACAGCTGGCACATGCTGTCATTCTTCCTGTTAACTTTTGGTATGTCTGAGGGAAGAGGATAAAGTACCAATGAAACATTTTCAAAATCTTTTTACCATGTGAGCATTTGCAAGGGGAAAACTGTAGCATGGAAGGCAAAGTGAGATCAATCCTTGCCTTCCCATAGATAACTCTTTCCCACGAAGTTGCTCTCGTGCAGCAATTACACTAATTAAAAAATGCTTTTATAGAGATCAACTATATTTTTAAAATATGATACCTGACAAGGCGGGAAATGAGACTGCAGAACAAACATCCAATTAGCGAAAAAGTTCTGAGTGGACCTGAGGCTATCAAAAAGGTGTAGCTCTAGTTTATGTCTGGTTAAACCTATCTTGTTATTTTTTTTCATTTAAGTTTTAACAGTAGTTTTGCCATTCCATCACAAGCTGTAGTGCTTTATTTATCATTAGCCAATTAGCCTTATTATTTGCTTTTATTCTCAAAGAAACACTGTATATTTTGGGGTGTATTTTGTAAAAAGGAAAAAAGAGAAAATGGAATGTAAGAATAATTTATATATATCTTTTCCCTTACAATGAAACAGACTAGTATTAGAATTATGTATCATATCACACTTCTCAGAGATACAGCAGGAATTTTAGTGAAATACAAACCAGATATGCAAAAAACATTAACAAAATTGGAAGGGACTCTGGTGGTCTTCTAATCCAAGGTTTTGCTCAAGTAGGAAACCCTATATCATTTCAGACAAATAGCTGTCCAGTCTCTTTTTAAAAGGCTCCAGTGATGGAGCACCCATAACTTCTGAAAGCAAGCCGTTCCACTGGTTGATTGTTCTCACTGTCAGGAAATGTCTTAGTTCTAGATTGCTTCTCTCCTTGGTTAAATTCCAACCATTGATTCTTGTCTTGCTTTCTGGGGCTGTGGAAAATAAGTGGACCCACTCTTCTTTGTGGCAACCTCTCAAATATTGGAACTGTTAAAATATCACCCTAGTCCTTCTTTTCACTAAACTAGACATACCCAATTTCTGCAACCATTCTTCAAAGAATGGGACAACTTGCTGCGGCCAACTCACCATGGCCAATTCGTTGTGGGATAACTCACCATGGTCAATTCACCGTGGGACAACTTGCCATGGCCAATTTGCCATGGGACACTGTGGGACAATTCAACAATTCAATTTAATTATTTAAAATAATTTAAAAAATATTTTAATTTTTGTCATTCACATTTCATTTTGTCCCTCCTTTGGCATTCTTTCTTTAATGATTCTATTCCACTATTTATTCAATATTAGTGTAACTCTTGTTCCGCGGCAAATTGTCCCATGGCGGGTTGGTCATGGCAAGCTGTCTTGTGGCGAGTTGACCACAGAGAGTTGGCCGTGGCGAGTTGTCACAGACCTTGTTCTTCATTTGTTTTAGCTCAATTCCCTAGTCATCTTTTTTATATTGTTATAACCAAAACTGGAGTTGAAGTTCACAAGTCATAAAAGGGCCACGTTTGAAGACCCCTGCCTTATAAAGTGGTACTAACACTTCACGTGATCTTGATTCTATTCCTCTGTTAATGCAGTCTAGGATTGCACATTGCTGGCTCATATTTAAGTGATTGTTCACTACGACTTCAAGAACCCTCTTGCAGCTACTGCTATTGAGCCAACTTTCACTTAATTTGTATATTTGGTTTTTCTTGCCTAAGGGTAAAATGTTACTTTTCTCATCATTGAATTTCATTTTGTTAGATAGAGCCTAGGGTTCAGGTCAGTTGAGATCCTTCTGGATCTTGAGCCTATCTTCTGGGGTGTTGGCTATTCCTGCCAGCTTAGTGTTGTCTGCAAATTTGATGAGTTCACCTTCTATTCCCAAATCTAAATCTTTTATGAAGATGTAGGAAACGGCTACTTAAATGCTACTAATGTAGCTTTTAATACAACATTGAATAATGCAAACCACTTATATTCCTTTGTGATTTTTTCTTTCCTTTCTTTCCTTTCTTTCTCTCTTTCCTTCACTCCCTTCCTTCCTCTTTCCTTTACATTCCTCTTTTGCATATGATAAAATCCTTGAGATAGCTTTGTCAAATTGCATACCACATTCACATATATGGCACCACAAATAAATTGCTTCTCCTAGGACATCTTTCCTAGAAATGGAAGTACTGCATAGATTCTTACAATTATCACAGTAATTCACCTGTGAGGAAATTATTGTTATTGTCACAGAAAGTTCTTCAAATTATGAGATACTGAATGATTTACACTGTGCTTAATACACAACTCTGAGATTAAGCATGATATGCCTCTTACACTATTAACAACAGCTAAAAGAAATGTTCTGATTCACAATTTTGCAGTGCTACAACTAATTTCTAATAAGCTTCAAAAATTGGGAGGTTCAAAGCATGATTTTGAAAAGACTAATAAAGAAAATATTAGAGCCAAAGGAAATTAATTTTGATCTTTTTAGAGCAAACATTTTTCTTTGTGATTTATTTAGATGCTGAAATTTTCTTCTTAATGAATTCTATTCCTAGTTTTCTGTTTCACACAGCATATTTCCTCTGGGCAAATAGTCTTATGGAGATAAGTTCCTAAGAAATTGCTTCATTCTCATCCTATTCACACTGTAAACGTATTTCCCATCCTTAGTGACAATTTCATTTCTATGTGCATGAATAGAATCACCAATGCAGGATAGAAGAAAGTGATAATTCATCTCCAACATCACTTTTGTATAGTTAATATAAGGATGTAGTTGTTAAAGGAAAAAAGTTGAGAATAATGGCTTACAATTTTTTTTAAAGGAAGTGATAATGAAATCAAGAGAAATACCTAAATTTGCCAGCTCCCTTAGTCAGTATTCCAGATTAAACAGAAATGTGGATTTAACATATCCGTTATGGTGAATAAGAACTGATCAAGGGTCAGACTCACCATGCAGAGTAACAAGTCAAGGAAGCTGTCTCTCATCTTTGCACGTTACATCAGCTAATATTTTGGAATCCATCTCTCCCCACATGGCAGCATTCTCTGTTCTCGGGTGCCATCTGTATAAGCTCCTTCTTCTGCTGCCACCTACCAGTTTTATTATTCTGTTGCAGCACAAGGGCATATAGAAGAAGTTCTTGTTCAGCTCACAGAAAAATCATACAATGGGGATCCTTTAAAGGCATGAAGTTCACTACAACCTTTCTTCCCATACCTCCCATCTCCTTTAGAAAAATATTGGACAGAAGACCAAGGTAATAAATTTTGGAAGATATCCTTACAGATGGAGCTATTACATGGCAGATTAAAAATACAAATGCCACCAGATGCTTCTGTTATGTTACCATCACATTTCAACACAAAAGATTTTCTGTTGCATTAAGCATACCTAGTTATTATTTTCCTCTTTCATAGTACCCTATTTCTTTTTTCAAGTATATTTCTAACCAAACTCTACAGTTCACAAACTTAATTCACATAGAACATTAAAAAGTAAAATAGCATTTCCTGAAAGCTGGAACTCTGGGCAGTGTCAAATGTCTGCCTCATTGGATTGCCCTTTTAGTGCAAGCAAAGTGAAAATTTAATTTTGTTGAACAGCATACACAGGCTCCTATTGTTTTGATATCACTTTTCCTCTTCTCCCACCAATTCAGCAACTGCTAATTTGCATGGGCTTTGACAATTATAAGGAACAATTTGCAATTCTCTTGTTTAGCTTTTTCAAGTCACAAGAGTTGCAGTAGTAGGATTCAGATTGTGTCAAAAAGCCTAAAATTGGCAAGAGAAGAACAAAAAAGTCTGTTCAACAGCCAATTTTAATCTAGTATTTCTCCCTTTATGCAATGCCTCTGGGTCAAAAATAACAGGGAAGACAATTTGATAAGAGTTTTGCAGAGTAGCCATTTTTTGTTCCAAATAAATTTGCAAAAAAGTTAGCTATGTCAGGGAGAGATTAAGTATTTGTGAAAAATAGAAGCTAGAGAAATAGTAGTGTAACAGTATCTATCAAATCTTCCACATAAAAATACTATTTTTCATCTATTTTAATCTATTTTAGCAGAATATATTGGCTCTTTTAAATTTCAAAGCATATATCTATAAAATTAAGCTGACAAAAGAAAACATTTTTCTTGTAATAAGACGTGTGAGCTCACATGCAAAATCATTTGGGGGAGTGTTCATCTGAAATATTTTGTTCTTTCATATTAGCAATTATTTCTACCACTGGTTGTGTCATTGCTGTTGTATGTTTATGCAGAAATTTGGATATTAAATCAAATATAAAATATTAAGAAGTTATTCAGATTGTTATTATTACCAATAAATAGCAGTATACTGAGTAACCCATATAGAAAATTCCAGAAATAAAACCTCTGACTTTTCACAAGTACGCAATGCCTCCATCCAAGCCCTGCTATAAGAAATAGAAAATTATATAAACTTTTTACTCCTATTTTCGTACCTGTTAATTGATGCTGATTAGTTTTGTGCTGACTGTGCCCCTGGAAAGAATCAAAGCCCTGTAAAACTTAAGCCAAGAATGTATATTTGGGGAAGGGGCAGCAAGAAAAGATAATGGGAAGATTGAGATGGCAGAATCTGAGGAGTTACATCCCATCCCATCCCTTCTTTCTGTCACTGTACACTGCTTAAATTTCTCTTGCTATGATCCTACTTGAACACATGGATCACAACAAGCTTTAAAGTTTAATTCTGCTAAATATATACAAAATGAAAAACAAGAAAAGAAATACCATTTGCTTCAAAAAAATTAATCTTTTACAGCAGTAATCATATTATGACTGAGGGAGAGAAGAAAGAAAAGCAGTGTTAGCTAATATGGGATGATCAAGAGCTGAAAGTTACCTGCCAAGGGGTCGGTATTGGATGCCACCGGGCTTCTGCGTTTATTGTTTTACCACAGGGGGGGGAAGTTTAGGGAGGAACATTCTCAAGGATTTTCACAAGCTCTCTCTCTCTCTCTCTCTCTCTCTTGTCACCAGAAAGGGGAGAAGGGAAGTTTTTCTCTGGATTGTTTGACTTTTTTGGCTCCTGAAAAGTTTTGCAAAGAACAGTAAGAAAGTGTGAATTGTTAGAACATTCAGAAAAAAAGAATATGTATTACACAGTGGTTCCTTAAGTGTTACAAATTCCCACCCCAAAACATCAAGTTATTGACAATGCATTAAACAAATAAAAGACATTCAACTGAAAACTGTAACATGAGGGATACAGAAATTTCCAACGATGGCCCAAGCCACCATCAGAACATTCCAAAATTCACCCTCCAATATCAATACACTCAAATATATATTAAAAAAAGAAAAAGAAAGCAAAAAGATAACCTTTCATCATAAATTCTATAATATTTTACAAATTCCTAGAACAGTGAAAAATTAAAAATGAAAGAGACAGTAGCAGCAGAGGTTACCTGTCTGAGCACCTACAATTCCATAGAGAGAACAGGAGTGGGTCGTGAGTCTCACACCAGCCAAATAGCTCATAAACCTTCTCAAAAAGAGTGAGCCATGAGAAAGAATTGTACATGTTGATACATCTTACATAGTTTAAACCCTTATACATTTAACCAACTTGAGCTCTGCTTTTATTAAATGGGAAGATGTGAAGTTTAAAATAGTATTCATCAAGTCTCGTACATGTCCAATGCAGCACTTCTAAAACTGTCTTTTTATTTTTTTTCCAAACTTCACAGGTTCAAAGCATTTTTCTTGACATATCTTCTATGATAAATTGCTGAACAAAGTCAATGTTGTTTGATCCGACAAGTTGAAAGTTTGGTGGAATACAACAACAAAAGTAGTCCACAAATATGCTGTCCTCCCAACATCTGTTATTAATGCTCTACCAAAGTGTTCCAGAATGAAAGTTTTATCAACAATATAAAATCTGAGAAGATACAAAGCTACAAATACAACCTGTAATTCTATACAGTAAAAAAAGTATAAACATAGCATCTGAAAAATAAAAGCACAAACAAAACACACAGTACACCATCAAACCCCATCATTACCATCCAACCCCCAAATCTGGTTCCATTTGAGTGCTATATGTAATCGCTGACTGTGCTGAAATTCACTACAGCTTCTATTTTCCCAGTTGTTCAATTCTGTTTTCCTAGTTGTTAATTTCAAATTATGATAAGTAATGTTGGTACTCTTAATATACTTGTCAATATTTTTTTCCCTGGGAAGTGTGATGTGTAGCACTACTCTCTACAGAACTTAAACCCTAGTTATTAGAAACTCAAATCATTTTCTTTACCAATAGTAATATTTTTAAAACTTCTACAACATTTTTTTTTAAAGTTACATTACGTAAGGAGGGAATGTATCAACCCATTTTTTTCAAGCATAGAATTTCTTAAGTGATTTTAACATGCAATGCCAGGTTCTATTTCAACAATGTGTGAGACTTTTCTTTACCCAAACGTTATTCAGTCTCTTTTCCATTTTTCCAATACAACCACAACACACACATGGCCATCACATGGCAAACAGATAAACCAAAATATAAAATCCCTTAATGTGCTCATTGTGTACGATTCAGAACAAATTTTATGTGACATTCCATTGCATTTATAGTGGTGTAAACTGGGTCTATATATTTTGAAAAAGTTTCATGTGAAAAACATTTGTCACAAACTGTTTTCCTCAAACAGTGGAAAAACTCAGATAACCCAAATCAGAAGTATCAGAGTTGTCAAGCTTCTTCTGGAATCAACTTTGTTTCTTGTGAATGTTGCAACATTTTTCTGCCAGTTAAGGTTAATTCTTTGCTCATGTTTCTGAAAGATGTGCAATCCTTTAAAGAAACCTGTATTTTAGAAGGCACACATCTAGTTAACAAAGGGGTGAAAGGCCACAAAGCAAAAGGAAAGAAAGCTACTTGGAGGTTTTCTTTTTTTTTTTTTTTTAAATGGAAACTTTTGTATTTTTCTTCAACCTACACACTCTAAAATATTGCTTTTGCTTCATCAGCTAATGCCAACAATCATCCTTCTATTTTACTTTTAACAATAACATTTAATTCTACAAAAATATCATTATTGCATTTTTAAAAACTGTACAAATAGGCATGATCAACCTTCATGAAAGCAGGCTAACACTTTTCTATTTATTCTTAGTGTCTCTGTAAAGTGTTCACAAGTGGTGTTTAATACCCAAGTGAAAGTTAAGACAGTTGAGTGGTGAAGTTGGCCAGTGGAATGAAGCTCAGAGCTCTGGAGGGTAAATTGCTATTCTGAAGCACTGAGACAAAACCACCCTGTACACAGAAGCTGCCCACCCTCCAAAACCCTTTCATAAGCCAACTTGCTGTTACAAACATTCTACTGTGTCGTGTTGTGGATGGCTATTTTTAAAGTAACAGGATTTTATTTACATTTTTCTATAATTTTAATACGGTATAAACTCCAAAGTAAATAAATAAGTGAGAAATGGGTGAGGAGGAGGAAAATGAGGCCATTAAAACAGACCAAAAGCTGTTGTTTTGGTTCTTTTACCAAATTTAATAAGAAAATGCACAGCCAGAAGTATCAGGGATGGACTGGGAGAGGAGATCATCAGGCATTCTGGAAAAAAGACTGACGAACTGGACAGACAAAAATTAATGACAAAAACAAAGCAAAATACAGACACATACAAAGGGGGCTGAGATCCACACACTGGTGGTGTTAAATCATATTCCCATTCTGGCTGGGCCTTACTGGCAAAGTGTTTCCCAAAACCAAAACCTTCTTGTTTCTTTCAGGATTTATCCTTGGTAAATCAGGCCACTTTCCTTCTATAAAGGAAAGCTACTATCAATAATAGTAATGCATTAAATTTACAAAATATAGTTTTGAAATTTGCAACCATTTCAACCCTCCTCCACACCCCTCCCATATTTTCTAGGTATCAGATTTTTTTTTATAAGTTTGTTACTATTAGTGGTGATGTTGAGTAGTACAGGTATTTTTCAAATTGGGCCCCTGTTAAAGATATAGGCATGGAGAAAGAAGTGTTGGACGAGCATGTATTAAAAATGAAACAGTAACACAGCATATATCTTGCAAAAAGGACTAAAACACTAACAAATACAAGTCAATGCACATTTGTTTTAAACTAGTGTTATTCTTTTTCACATTGGATTAAACATTATTTTGTACACCAAAAGTTAACAGTGCTGTTTATCTCAGTTCTTGTGCAAAAGAAAACATGCCACTTCTGCCAATAGCCCAAACTGAATTTTACACAGTTTCTCCCTTTCCTGATCTGAAGCTAGGTTTTAAGATTATTTTTAAAATCCAGATACATAGTAATTTTTTTCTCCCAAGGAAAGTGAATTTGGTTTTAAATCTAAGCATGCGGACACCTGTTAATACAGAAATGGCAGAAGTTGCAGGTTTATTTCAAAAACTCGTGTAGAACTAATCAAAGTTGCACCCTGTAAAACTGCTTAAAGTCTGGAATTTCATAGGCCATTGTGGATTGTTTGCCAGGGATACAATTTTACAGATCTAATTGATAATAGAAATGCTGATATTTAGAACCTTTGAACGAAATAAAAAAATGGCTGTTCTAATTTCTCTCCACTCCTATAGGACATAAAGCAAAAGGCATATAATAACAAGAATGAGCTCCAATGAGGTGAGGGGATGGTTGGCAAAGTATTAATTCATGGGTGCTTTTGTAGCATCAACCTTTCCAGTTGCAAATAGCATAAATCAAGATGAAACATTTTCATATGAGTTCAAAGATCATAATGGCATCCCTATCAAAAACAGAAGTTTTATCGAGTTCTTTTCTCCCATTTCCCAATGCAGACTTTAAACAGAATATTATCAAATGAAAAATAGTTGTTAAAAATAACAACTAAACATATGTTCTGTAAGATTAATAGGTAACAAAAGCAGCATTCACAGAACATGCATGTTTTGATTCTGATCCCCAAGTTAAAACCCTCACCTCACCTCCATAAGCTGCTTCCAATAAACAGTACTACAAGTTGGTTGTATTTTAAAAAAATTTACAAGAAAGTTGGTCATAGTTATTTACATGTGGCATTACTCCACTAGGAGCTTAATCTCATTGGCTATTAGCTGGTTCATATTGAATATCCCTCCCGGCAGCTTGGTGAGCAACTCTCTCTCTGTGGTTTCAGGGTCGCTGTCGACAGAGCTGGAGCTAGCACTCATATTGTCGACAGTGGCACTAGCTGGAGGTCCCAGCTCTGGCTCGCTAGTCTCGCTAGCCGTGGATACCACAGAGAGCAAGGACATGCGTCGTGTCAAGCGACTGGGAGGAAGCAGTGAAGCGGCATAGTCCGCTATGATACCAGCTACATCTAGATTGCAAGCCTTGTCAAAGGCAATGAAACCTACATTTGCATTGGCCTCACAGACGCAGAACGAGCCATCATCCTTCATTAGGAGGTCGATGCCACAGATATCCATCCCCAAGATGTTAGAAACTTGGACCGCCAGTTGTTTCCCTTGTTCACTGAGCGAGCACATCATACCTATACCACCTGGTAACAGAAATAAAGCTAAATCAGGGTACAATAGTATTCCAACTCAAATTCTCAATCAATAAATCTACATGAGCTACAGAGAGTGTTGTGAGATCTTAATGCTTATTATAGTATTGAGGCTAACTTTTAAGGTATTTTGTGAGGATTTTCCATTTTAAATAAAAAAGGAATCTAATTGCTAGTGTTAAAACTAAATGTGTTTTAGAAAAACTCTGATGACCAATAGAGGCTAATGTATCTTCTTTATTTATCTACATCTTATTTTTAGTCATACCATTTATTTAAGTAATTCACAATTATACAGTTAGGCTTACCTGTGTTTGACAGTGCATTTGCTCCCCACTCTCATCTCAGAGAGATGAAATAAAGATAAGATAATAACCTTTATTGTCATTTTTTTTACTGTGGGCACAACGGAACACATCAAAAATGAAATTTAGCTACCTGCTCTCAAAGTGAAACACATACATGACACACACCTAAACATACTATATACAACATATGTATAGACCCAGAGCCCTACATATACATAACAAATAAATATTAAAGACTGTTCATCTTGAATATATAACGGAAAGACTGAATGAAATAAAATAAGAATATAAAACACCAAAACCAATGGAATAGTATTAACCTTGGAAACAAGGCCCACAAAGAGAAGAATTGATCCAGAATATGGGTCATTTCAGAGTGCCAATTTCCAGATAGAAGAAATGACTAACTATTATTAGTCCAATGGTAGTGTGACACTCCCAGATACTAAGGCACTACCCACATAAACCAATGTTAAAAAAACAACAGTTTTTAAAATTAAAAATAGCAGAAGTATCATGAGATTTCAGTATGCTTACACAAAAGCTCATGATCAGGGCAGAGAAAGTTAAAATTTTTGTAAGATTTTGAGGTGAGATTGATTTAATATTGTGAGATGTTGGTATTAAAAAAGGTTCTGGTGATTACACCATGTGAAATTGCATGATGTTGCCTCAGCATATAAAGTGGCCTATCTACTCCTGCTACTTCTTAACTGTAGTAAATAATGGGGAGAATGATCCAAAAAGAAACTGCAGAGATAATATAAATGTAAAGGCAATCTATACAAATACAAATATTATACAGCAATTTAATTTAGTGGACTTTAAACTTAATGGATAAATGGCTGCTAGTTCTGAGTTTTGGTCAACTTTCAGGACTGTGCCTCAAATAACAGAGACAAATGTGTTGTTTGATGAGACAGTTCATATAATAACCAATGGTTCTCATCAAAGGCGTTTGATGTTATTAGTTTTCCTATGTAGAAGCATGTTTTAGAACTTGAAAAATCCAAATTGCTATTTAGTATATATGCACACTTAGGGTTAGATAGTGATTTCCCTTTTAGTCCATTAAATCAAAGTTTACTGTATTTGTTTCTTTCAAAGTAATCTTTACATTTAAGATAGCACTCTATAAAAATGTATGCCTTAAATTAGAATTTAAAAATTCAACATATATAGTAAATTCAAACACATTTTCATTCTTACCAAGTGAGCAATTGCTCTGCATTCTACCATCTGTTGAGCAACGCAGCATAGTGCCCACGACACGGCCTCCTACCACGATGACACGAACATCTTTGCCATGAGACTCCTGGATATATTTTTGGAATAGATAAGGGGCTTCATGACGAATTAGATGGCTCAGGTCTGCCAGATGGTGTTTGTCTCTGGCTAGAAACACAGCTTTTCCTGCATCAAAAGAACACAGAAGATGAAAACTAATCAGTGATTTTCCTGCCTGAATTTTAAAGAGCTGGAAAGGCAGTGTGTCTATACATTCTCAACTTCTATACTGAAAACATTATCCTGGCAACACTGGTGAATGAATATCAATAAAAATGGCAAAGCACTTATACATTTAGTGCTACTAAAACAGCAAAATTTGGAAAATATTACCTTGAAGTACACTCACAATTTCCAGGGCTTATTCCAGTTCTCACTCCCTCAGTACAGATCTCTCAGTATCCTTCAATCTTGGCCTGTACCATTCCGTGCTATTCTAGTAGAACTAGGTTGCAAGAGTGTTTTGCAACAGGTTTGGGATTTTCTAGACACATAAAACAGAGGGCTGCACCAATCACAGTCTAAAGATGGCAGAGATTCCAAGGTGCTGTTCATGGTTAATTGATGAATCAAAGCAAACCAGTCCCAATTAAATTGCAATTGCCAATTAAAATAATTAGTATAGCAATGAAATACAAAACTTATTTAAAATTCTTTCCAAATCAAAGTTCACATTAAATACATTGATTCAAATGTTAAATTTACTGATAAATATCCTTTAGTTGCATACAACTATGTTTAGGATATCATTAATAAATAAAACATATTTCATGCTATCTTAAGGAGGATTTTATAAATAATCAATCTTTTTTTCAGCAACTAATATGAAAGATGATGATTCTATTTAAAATTTCTTCATTGGGGAATCTGATTTACTCGTGTGTCTATTCAAATGTACTTAAGTCTTGGGTGGTAAGCCTATCATAGATTACAAAGCATATTCTAACATAAACAACTAAACTAAATAATTACTAGCAATGAGAGAACACAAAACAAAATCCAGAGAGTGAAATCTACAAATAAGCATAGGTTCCAATGCTTAGATGAAGCTCTAAGCAAAATAATAACAAATACACATTATTTACAAAAATAGGTAAACTGCATATACTTCTGCTTTCATTCTCTAATAAAGGAGTTTAAAAAGTAATTCAGAGTAACATGAATGAACTAATGCCGATTCATAATGCTGTTATATAAATCAATGGTGCAACCACACCTGGAATATTGTGTGCAGTTCTGATTGCTACACTTATAAAAATGATATTGTGTAGCTGGAGAAGGTTCAGAAAAAGGCAACTAAAATGATCAAGGAGTTGGAAAAGCTTCCCTACGGGGAAGGATTACAACACATGGAGCTTTTTTTGGCTAAAATAGTGAATGAGAATGGATAGGATTGAGGTGTACAAAATTATACATGAGAGAAGGTAAAGCTGTTCTCCTTTCCCAAAATACTACAACCAGAGGTCACTCTGTGAAATTGAATACTGAAAGAATCAGAACAGAATTTTTGGTATACAACATGTAGCTAAACTTTAGAATATGTTTACTGCACTGGCTAAAACTTTTCTTCAAAAAGGGCTGGATCTATTCCTGTGACTCCTGAGGGGCACATGACATGGATTTGTAACTTGTTAACTAACAATGTTACTTTGTATTTTAATTTGACTTATTTTCTCTCTTTTAAAATGATGTTCAGGCTCATTACAGACTGGAATGTAGGAAAACTTTTTATTCTACCGCTGTATGGACTGATTGATAGTTTTTAACATTCCTAAACTGAAAAGATAAACTGGCTGGAGACTATCTGAGATAAGATGGGTGTCTGGTTGTCTCTTCATGAACTCCAAACAACCGTCAGACTTTTTTTTAATGAATATGTGTGATATTATGGGATGCAAATGTGAAACATGTTTGACTACATGTAAATGATTTCCTGTGCAAAAAGGTTACTTTTATCCTGTCCAATCAACTTTCCTCTTGCATTTTCTTTGATGTGTTAACTATAAAAAGGAAAGAGGTTTGCCCTTTTCATAGGGAGATCCCACTTTACCAGGTTACCCTAATAAATTGCTCTTAAATGATCTTCCCATTCTGTTGCTTATTGGGAAATGTAAACTGAGGCAGAACCTAGGGCCAGATTTGGCTATCACTCCTTTGAAGGCTAGCTGCTGGAGATTATTAGGCTTTCTTGTACAATTGACTGGGCACTGTGAGAAAACTGCTGGATTAGATGGGGTTTGATCTGGTAGGGCATTGATTATATTTTTATGTTCCACTATGGATGACCATATTGCAGAGACATCATCAATTACTGCTATAGGTTGGACCTACTGTTGTAGCTAATATAGCAATTTATTCCATTACTGCTGGGTTTAGAATTTTCTTTTCTTGTTCTCTGCAAAATTTTGACTCCCCATATAGAAGTACTACAGGGAATCTGTAGTTTTCTATAATTCTACATTCTACTGAGCTGCGAAGATTTGAGGGTGATACAATAATATTTTTCTTTCCTTTTAGTGCCTGCGTTTTCCTTTTCAAAAAGTGCTTTTAGCAGACTTGGATGAAGCTGAAATACTCTCAGCTCCCTATCTGGGAATCTCTAGGACAGGGGTGTTAAACTGCTGGCCCATGGGCCGGAAGCGTCATGCCGAAATGGTGCCCACCCCATTGCCGGCAATGGGAAAAAAGTCGCGATACGTCGTGACACATCACGTGATGTTGTGAGTTTGACACCCCTGCTCTAGGATGTAACTGTTAAGGATTAATGCTGACTCATTCATGATGCTTCATGGGTTAGTGGTGTTCTTGCTTCTGTTAGGGTGTTCTTTGGTGAGACAGAGCAGTCCACTTTAATTTATATAATCCAGTGACAAATAGGAGAACAAAATCATACAAGAGGTCCACGAGTGATATTTTAGAATTGTATGTTATTTTTTTATTTAGCTACTATTGCATTATTTATAACTTAAATTTCAAAATGTTCATATTACCTTTTTTTAATGAAAAAGAATGGTTTCCCAAATGCAGTAATTTCATTTTGAAGTCATCATCAAAAGCAACATTATATGTGAAACTGTACTGAAGAACATCAGGCACTTAAAGAAGAGCAAAGTTAAATTGAAGCCTCCTTCTGTAGACTTCTGCAATACCTGCAATATAATCATCTTACACTGCCCTTCCAAGAGTTCTCACTTTACTTATGCTATTCTCTTCAACTATTCTATTTAAAATAGAACCTTCTCACTTGTTTGGGGGGGGGAAATCAAATGTAACTTCAAATTAACTTAAAGTAATTCTAATTTTACAAGATTGGATAGACGAAACTCTATCAACAAGCTGTATGGAGCGGCAAGAAATACCACTGAGGCTGTAAGGCAGGGGTCCCCAACCCCCGAGCTGCAGCTCACTACCAGGCCATGGCTTATTCAAAACGGGGCCATGTGAGTGGCGGGCCGGTGTCCACATGCATGCGCAGCTCAACTCGCCGAGCAGCAGGCTTGCAAGCACACGCATGCAGCTCAATTCATACAAGCAGTGGGCCAGCATGCATGCACATGCACATGTCCATGCGCTGGCCCATGGCTCGCTAAATTGTGCATGCATGCGTATGTGCATCAGCCTGCCACTTGCGCAGCCCAGTTGTCCTTTCCCACCCAGCCCTGCCATGAAGCCACAAAGGTTGGGGACCGCTGCTATCAAGAGTTACTTATGAATATAATGAAATAAATAACAAGTAGCATAATTGTTTTTCAAAAACTCACAGAGAAAGTGGAAGTATTGTATATTAAATAATTATTTTCCTACAAGGAATATAGGCTTTATAATATTTTGCTGCATTTATCTAAACAGATGCAAATAATTAATCCTCAACAAAGTTTAATTAATGTAGGATAGACTTTAAATCCTCATGACAATCAAAATTTAAAAGGAAAGATTTTTACACTGTGACATTACCATATTAGCAGAGACATTCACAGTGGCTGTTTACTATAGTTGGTTGAATAGTCAGCCAGATGTTTAGACTAAATTTGACATTTTTATCCACCTAACTAGTCCTTCCCAAAAATCTGGGATTGGCAATGTTATTGTTTGATGATGTTAAAGGTATTGTTTGATGGTGGTGGTGGCATCATGATGATGATAATGCAGAACTGAGATAGAATTGTGCCTGGCTTTTATCAGCAGAAACCTATTCTACTAACAGAAATATGACAGGGGATTCCACTACATTCCTTCAGTATTCAAATTATCTGAGGCGAAGCCAATAGCACAACTTCTCTATGGTGCCAGGCAAGGCCCTTTCCCAACTTTGGACCACTAGAACTTGTTCAGTGCAAATTCCTAAGATCGGCCTTTCAAGCTCCAAAATGTGTCTCTAATACCACTTTGAGACTAGAGACAGGCCTCATGAAAGTGGAGGCTAGAATGTAGGCAACCATAATCAACTACTGGCTTAGATTATTAAAATCTAAAATTTAGTGACAACTAAAATCTCATCATTGGGATCTTCTCCAGCATGGGATATGATCAGGCTGAAGTTCTCATTCAACAGTTCTCTGTATAACAGACACAGAGCACCAACTTGATCTAGCCAGGTTCTCAACTTTTTTCGCCAGTGAACCCAACAGGTTCTCTACCTCCCTTATGGCATACTTAACAAATCTCGAAATACCTGATCATCAAAGAGCTTTTACTTTAGCACAATGACACACCCTCCCCATAGCTATCCTGGAAGGCTGATACTGGAAGATCCCTTACCCAGAGAGACAATGCCCCTGTGACTCTAGACGTATAGAAATAAAGGAACATATATTTATCTAATTCCTACACTATATAGACACATTTGTTCTAGCCTCAACTCACCATTATTGTATGAATACCCAGGGAGCACAGGACAATTTTACACTTCCCTGCTGCTCTCAGATACCATCCCTGCTACAACATATAACAGCGCACAGGTTTTGCACAGCAGCACATAGCATACATTAGAAGATGACCTGTGCCACAAGTCAGTTTTAATGAACACCTAGATGATTATTATAGAGTGTTTTGTAATAGATTTAGTTTATATTTTAACATTAATTTATTGCTTTTTGTTTTTAGACTTTTTTAGATTTTTATTTTTATACTTTTTAGATTTTAATGTAATTGTTATTTTTATATTTTCTATATTTTTAAATTGTTTATATCTTATTCATCTTATGCAGTTCTTTGATCATAATATAGGTTGTTTGATTCCATCTGTTAATAAGTTCTGTTTTATTTTGGAGAAGAGCCATCTTTTATTAATTTTATAAAATGACATTTAAAAATATATTACTAATACAGTAGGACAGAGTGAGGAGTTGAAAAATATATCAGAAGGCAATTATAAACCATCTCTGTACTTTTCCACAAAAAACCCTACATGAATACGTCCATGAAGTTACCAACAGTTACATTCAACTCATGGGTATTTTCATGAAGAATGCTTCACTAATTTATCTGCAGAAACAAACAGCTACAAAAGTTGCTCAAACTTGATGATTTAAATAAAAACACATTTAAATTGAACTATTGGGCCAAGATTATCAATGAATTGTGTTTTGTGGTAGTTGAAAGAAAAAAATTTGTAAAATTGTTATTATTACAATCATTAAATATGCAATATAAGTGTAACTATATGACTTCTATAATTAGACAAAAATGTATCTAATGTTGATAAATGAATACAAATAAGTTAGGAAATGTATATTCAATGTATTCTGAAAGCATGGGTTATTAATACCATTGCATTTATGATAAGATATTCTGGGCACTTTGTACTATTTTGCATCTAAAAATTTTGGACAAAACAACTCTCATTTAACACTATAACAATTATATACAGACTCTCACACCCACCTCTATGACCTCGTGTGTTCTTCACAACCATGGGGAACTCCAACACTTCTGCTTCATCAATCATTTTGGCAAAGTTTTCATGACCTCCTAGAAAAAAAAAATAACCAAAGCTGTAAAAAGGGACGCACACAAATGTGAATTTTGGATGTTTTCTTACAATGCAAAATTCTGTTATTCTAGACAGAAGAAAAATATATTATTTTCAAGTATTCCCAGGTTACTTTCTAATGTTCAAAAGTTTATATCATATCAGAGTTATGGAATTCTTCTAATTGTGTTTTGGATAAAAAAGAATATCCTATAAATATAAAATTATCTTACATTATATTGGTACAAGTTATAGCTTTTCCTTCTGGGATTTAAAATGTCTAAAAATAGAACTAAAATGAGTTCAGGACAGCTAGAAGATCTTTTCTGCATGGCATTGCATTATGCTAAAAGGTTTGATTTACTGCCACAGGCTTATACAGTACGGCAATTTGCTAAGGGCCCAGTGACAGCCTCTGCATGCATTATCTTGTCAGTTAACAATGACATGCTATCTATAACCCTTCTTTTGAGGTGAATAAGCTATGTCAGCTATTGTACTACATTTTTCTCAAATTTGACAAGAGTGTAAGGATTGGTAAGAGAAGTTTATAATGCTTAAAATCCTTTTGGACAATTTTACTGTTTTATTTATGAATATACGTGTATATGTATTTGTGTGTGGGTGTAATATATGTATTTTATACTGCTATTCCCAGTTTATATTATACAGATTGCTAATTTTAATTTCTACTTTTGTATACTGTATATATGCAGCCTAAGATGGCCTTTTAGCATATTCTGATCTAATATTGACTTTAGTCATTTTTTTGTCTATATGTACTTTTCTTAACTATCATGAAATTGTCAATTTAGTTTTAGATAATTTGAATATCTGAATACCAATTTTTTTGAGCTGATTAATTACAACAATAAATGTTCTGGATCATGTAACCCTGACTAGAGCATGTAGATCTGTATGTTAGAATGTTTGGCGTTTATTGGGTTAAGCGCTGTCTCCTTAAGAGATGGCTTATGGGTAATGTAGTTTTAGCTAGTTAGCTATCCCATGTTAACAAGTATGTAGGAGGAGCCACTAAAGTTCATTACAGAATGTCCTGGCCATGTGCCAGTTTGGAATGCCTTTGTCTGAGATAAGCATGGGACCACAGGAGGACTCTGATGGTCTCATCCCACGTTAGAAGTTGGTGTGGAGACAGTATTAATTTCTTACCTATAAGAATGAACAGATGTATAATATTCAGAAGCAACAACCATAACTGCAAGTATTTCTGAATAAAATGTCTGTTTTATAATCATTCTTATTGAGTTTATCTGTATGATCTGGATTTACGTTAAGCATCTTAACTCTGGATCAGAACAATAAAGTTAACTATAACCTTTCTTAAACAGGAAAAGCTATACTTGAAAAATCTCCTAGAACACTGAGTAAATACACAGTGCAAGTGCTATACTATTTATTTATTGGAACATATTAAAACCCACCCCTCATTTTTGTAGATAATCCTTTTAAAACAGAGAAAGAAGAAAACACAAAATCCACAGATTAAAATCTGTAATCTTGGGTAAAGGGGCGTTGGTCTTACCTGAACGCCTTTTCTCAGCATGATGATGGATAATCCACATGATTGGGTTTCCTGAAGTCCCTTGTACCCAATAAGACTAAGTCTGAGATAGCCACGCCTCTTGCCTGGTCGCACATGCCCAGTTCCGACGGAGGCGAAGCAACAGACAAAGTCAGGCGTGTTGGTCTCCAGACTCCT